TGTGCTGGTTGGGCGACATAACAGGTTACCGCTACTGTTTATTCCAAAAACATTGTGCGTCTTTCGGAATTAAATTCTAAAAATATCACGTAAATTTCGTTACAATTTCTCAGAAACGATCATTGCGGGAAAATTGTGTGCTGGGACTAAGATTTTTTAAGGATCGATGCGATAAAACGATAGTTCGAGGAACGATAGAAGCGGGAAAATGTAACATTATTTTATATGGGATGTATTCGGGACCGAACAAAACGGACGATGCATCCGGGAAAACGATAGTTCCGGGAACGATGGATAGAAGTTTCACTGTATTTATATTAGATGTATACACCATAGAAATACAATGAAGTATGATAAAAGAAATGCTCAAAGAAATCATGATTAAGAACCTAAGTCACCACTATTTAACATTCTTTTATGTCTCTATACCCTAAACTTAACAGTTTCAGTGGAGTTATTGCTGAACAGCATGATGAACCTTCAGTTTGTACAAAAGTACAGACATTCTTGGTACGCTGAATACTTTTCAAGAAAGACCACATACCACGGAATCAGCGATATACTATGGCAATCCCTTGGCAACTGCAGTTTTTCTAGTCACAGACTATAAGTATCCACCCAGTTTTGACAACCATAATACACAGTTTTTGTGTTTGTGATTTTTAATTTGTACACTGACAGAAAAAAATTGTGACTTTTGAAACAAGTGAGCCACATTTTCTGCAGGAACCACTGTAATGGCATCCCATTTTCCCATAATGAGTTTCGGGTAACATAATTGCTGCAGTTGACATGAGGTTCTTGCTTGAACAAAATATCAAAACTGTAAAGCAGATGAACCTTCTTACCCACATTCACTGAATTCTCCTTTTTTATCAACTATGAGATATTGACCACGTTTTGATGCGCCTCCAGCACTTGTGTAAAGGTAATGCTGTAGTGGGACAGGCCGTTTCAATGTAGTAATAACAAATACTTTTTTCTTCTTTATCTTTCCCACCCAATCAGCAAACATCAGGGTGTTGGGAACAGTTGCACTAAGCATTACAATGCTTACATGGTCTGGGAGCAAAATCAGCACTTCTTCCCACACATGACCTCTCTGAAATATGTGCACATTTAATTCAAAATGAAGTTAAATTAATGGAAACAGGCATATAACTATACTGTCTGTAGGATTTGAGGGTCTCATTGCAGTGAGTATGAAAATAGCTGTTTGGTGGGTTGTAGTGCCATGTAAAAATTAAATCTGTGGCATAACAGCTCCAGAGAGCCAAAGCAAACTAGCTTGACTGCTGTCTCATGTTCACATGCCTAAGCAGAGGTGAACGATCATCCAACCAGATATAGGATGATGTGTGGTCAGCACGACGAACCCCCAGCCATTGCTAGTTTCCGTGACCGGATTACGCTACCAATTGTAGCTCCCCAATTTCCTCATGATGCTGGGTTGGCACCGGTCCCATACACTGGTCGAAAGCTCATGAGAAAATTTCTCCTCCCCAGAGACTCGAACCAGCGCGCATTCTGTATCGCCGGTCCGAAGCATGATGCCTCAGACTGCGCGGCTACAGTGTGGGACTGTAGTGCCATGTGGTCTAGTAAAAAGTAAACAGCCATCTTCAGCTATACAATATGTTCTTTACATACATGTTTTAATGCAGTGAAGGAGTTAAATAAATTGTTAGCTGGAAGCACAATACAAGATACACTCCTTTACAAATAGTGAAACCTGGTCTACAAGTCAGGTCATGCAGAAATGCAAGATTATTAAATCCCAAACAGTCACATCACGGTGCTATGATGGTTGGCAGGGGCGGCAGCAGTGTTGTTGTTGTTGTTTAAATCTGTTGTTCTTGCATATCTGATTCTGTCAGTAAACATAACCTACTAGGATATAGACTACTCTACATTTAAGGTAAGCCACAGTTTCACAATCAGTCCATCAGCTACATGTGTTTCTGCTGCCACTCAAGTGAACACTCTGAATTCATTAGCATACAGTAAATAAAATGTATCAAAACTGATAAAAAAAGTTTTAGTGGAAGTCTATCATATCAAGTTTCACCAAAACTGGTCCAATTGTTAAGTCTGCATAGACATCATGGATTTAAAAGACATATTAAAACAATTATTATAACATATTTAACTAAATTTTGATGCTTGCATTTTTCTGTTAGATAATATGTAAGCTCATCCTGGTTGCACCTTTTGGGTAAAATAATACAAAGCAATGTAATTTAAAATCTCCAAGAAAAAGTATTTGCCCACTGAAATGTGACAGCTTATTTACTCTGTAATATGCACAGAACACTACCATTATGGCTAGCAAGATATGACATAACTACCTCTGAATCATTGATGTAGTGAACCTCGTCGAATATAACATACTCAAGATCTCGAATTACTTCACTGCCACAGTAAAGCATGGAACGAAGAATTTCAGTGGTCATGATCAGACACTGAGCATTATGGTTCACCTGGAAGTCTCCTGTTATGAGTCCCACATCTCCAAAAGTTTCTTTGAAGTCACGGTATTTCTGATTTGAAAGTGCCTTGATTGGAGATGTATAAATAGATCTGGAAGACGAAGCAACAGTCAACTAACATGCACAGCAAATAAGAATATAAACCTTACATAGAATGTACATACTTTACTGTAACACTACTCATAAACTGAAGTCACAGGAATGAAAACTAAACACATTTGAGCAGCTTATATGATCAAGTTTTTGTGACCTACACAGCATCCTTGATGTTCACCGCAAAAGAAAAAATCACAAATAAGACAGTAACTGTCAGGAATTTGGTAGCCAAATCTGTCTGTAGGTCCTACTAAATTCAGATGAGGACCTCCACGAAACTCTGGACATCCATTCATTACAAATTACTTCAAATTCCTCATATATCTTTTTTAGCCTATGTACTCACTTTGTCATATGTTTTTTTGAAAGAGCGATGGCATATTCTGCCACTACAGTTTTACCAGCAGATGTATGAGCAGCTACAAAGACATTGGCATGGTCTTCCAACTTCAAAATTGCCTGTAAAACAACATAGATACAGTGCTGGAGGCACATGTCGTCTTATGTACCAGAGCACAAACATTAATAGTTTTTCTGAGAGAATCTCATCTGAACACTTACACAGAAAAGTCTCAAATAAGTAAATAAACAAGTAGAATAAATTAAATGGGCCCATGAACATTCAATTCTTAACATGATCCATCACACACTTTTTGCCCATGGAATTATTTATTACATAAAATTTCACAGTGTTAGGGCCCAAAAAACCAACAACATTTTCACCACTTAAAATCTCAAATACTTTCATTTCATGTCCAGACAAAATCCTTATTTATAATTCGGCAACCAAAGTACAGTGGTGCAAAATTTATTCCACATAATTCTGATGGCAGTTCTATATCTACTCAATCACCACTCCAAAATCATCCTCCTGACTAAAATAGACCCCTGAAAGGAGAACATACTTTATGTCACAAGTTTGAACGCAATGCAGCTGCTCATTTAAAGTAAGAGCAAGAGGGCAAATTTTTCAATAACACTGTATTGAATTACTGAGTTTCACATACAGAATGACTATAAATTTCTAGCAGAGATTTCCTTTGTGAGTAAACTCTTCAAATTAAAATAGTTTTAAAAACCTTTAAATATGATCACATGCAAAACACACTAAAGACTAAAATGCTGAAAGAAACTAACCTTTTTCTGGAAAATGTCTAGTTCAAACGGCCATGTCTTTGCCATAGCTGGTACTTTCTTTTCAAAATCTGTCACAGGATGGGATATGTCCAACTCTTCAGCCCACTGTGTTCGTGTTAGCTGCTTCAGGGGAGCAGTCTCTGTTATCTTTAGAACTGGAATTGTATCTTCCTGCAAAAAGAAAACAATTTAATATAGAAACGTCCACAGAATTACTAAAACTGGCAGTGTCAAGTACTAATTTCAAATGCAAAAGGCATATAAGTTGAATGTTCATTATCAGTAGAATTCCTCGGACTAGGTGAGACTTGAGGTTCTCAAATCAATGTGTGTGAATACGACTGTTGTCTTCTGGGATGTAGTCTAGTAGATAATGAGCAATGTTCCAAAGGAGCTTACTGCCTCCATCATCAGGCTCCTTTAAATATTCAATATGTACCATACCATATGGTTTTTTGGACTTTGTTCATCATCCAAGATTAAAATACACACGACGTTTTGAAAACAGGATCTGTTTTTATCTTCAGGTATGTGGGGCAGGGGAACCTACTCTGTTGGGTTCAATAGAAAGAGCTAGTCTCAATCATTGGACCCAACAGAGTAGGTGCCCCTGCCCCATACACCTGAAGATAAAAACAGATCCTGTTTTTGAGACATGATGTCCATAAACCAAGTAACTCTGACTACATCATATCATCGTCAGAACCCTACAGAATCCATCCATGTTTGCAAGTATTTTTCTGAAGCTCCTCTGTATAATATAAAGGAAAAAGTTGTTCCTGTGCTTAACACCTTGCTATAGAGATGATGAAGGGGAGAGTGAAGGCAAACCTCCACGCATTCTCAACCTCAGCAATACCTGCAGGTGACTGGTGAGCTTGGTCTAGACCTCTAACTACATTTGGTATACAACAGGCCTTAAGTCTATCTCCTGTGAACCAGCCTTACTGGGATGCTGGTCTGGAAACTTGCAAAGAGAAAAATATCTGCCAGTCCTCTACCTATAATTGGTTATCACAAACATTAAGTTTATCTCTTGTAAACCAGCCTTCTAATGTTAACATACATCACTCTCATCACCTTAGGAACTACTTCTGCTACATCTGCATCAATATCCACTTCTAAATTCTGTAATGAAATATTTTCTGTGTTCTTCTTTTGGGCTTTTGTTGTTTCTTTCTGCCACAATCCAAGAAGATCCTCTTCTTGTTTAATTAAGGACATGATATTCACAACTGATGTCTCCACTTTCTCTTCCAGTTTTATTTCAGGAACAGAAGACTCAGCATCTGAACCAAGTGGTTCCTGCGCTTTATTTTCTTTTAGTGGCGTCCTTCCATCTGCTTTAAACAGAATTCCCCTTTCAAAACCAGGTGGTACTGTTAATAAATCTGCAAATAAACAACAAGAAATTACACAATTTCAAACTAGGGGTGGCAATTGTTTATGGGCTCTGATGAAAATGAATTGCTTCCCATAGGATAAAGACAACAATAAAATTTAAATAAATTATAAAGTATTCAGTCCTTCATATTCCAAGAATATAATTTCACATCACTCCACTTGAAATAAATGCCACTGCTATAACTTGGCTCTTGCTGTATTATTTTAGTAAGTTGCTTATTAACAACTGTAAAATCAACTTAAAAACCATTAATCAATGTCCACACAAATTTTTAAGATTCAAGGTGTTGAAGAAAAGTATTTAGTACAGCAATGAAAATATAATTAATGGCAGTTAATTCTAAGGGACCTGTATCAACAGGACTTAATCCCCATATATTTATTATATCTTCTTCTTCTTCTTCTTCTTCTAAACACTTGCATGAATGCCTCCTGTAATGTATGTATCTACCATTCTTGTTCACATAACTAGCACTCTCTTATGTCCATCCTCTGAAACACAATAACGACCAAGAAACCATGCAATGAAGCACCAACTCAACAGTGAAATGCAAGTCTTACAATTAGAAACTTTATAATTAAATATGTTCAGGTAATTTTAGCTGACTGGACAGTTATATATAACACAGTACTCCAGGATTTATCATCATTACTGTTGCTTTCTCTTAGATAACCTCCTGGAAACACAATTTCTGTCCACTCTGATGTACACATAAACTCACATCAGCAGAGAATTATATTTACATTAAAAACTAGCATGTTCATGTTAGCAATTGTTATGAAATTGAACCCAAATGTATGAAGATAATATGGACAACATAAGATATGAAGCTGGAAGAAATTTCAGGACCAAAAAAGCGAATACTGGGAAGACAAAATTCATGAGCTTCAGACAGACAGTAAGAACAAAAATATTGGAGACCTGAAGGCACAAAAGAATTTAACAAGTGTTACCACCTATTTCCTTCATAGTAGATGGAACAATTCTGAGCAGAAAATATAATAAACGTTAACACTTACCAATTACATATATAGTCAGAAATTTATATCAGACCTGCAGGACTTATCAAAATGAAACTTACTATTTACAAAATCCACTTCAGCATCTCCATCCACATTTTTATCTAGTGGTAACAGTTCAGAAAATCCCCCTGGCCAGAATGGATAGTTGGTAGAACTGCCTCTTATTGATTCACTTGGTGGTCCAGGAGCACGTCGCAGAGACATGGAGTTTTTAGCTGTGTGGCCCATATCATCAAGAGGTACTTCCCGAAACTTGAGAAGTTTCCCTGTTGTGGGATCTCGCTCTACCTACAATTGCAATTCCTTTTTATAAGACTGAGATTTTTCCAGCAATGTGAGCATAGATAGTTGTTTATTTTGTGTACTGTAGCATTTTGGCTACATATCAATATTTTAGAAGAATATACTGCCTACATCTTTAAGACTAAAGACCACCACTTTAAACAATTTAGGCCAAGGTAAGAGATAACAATCCAAATTGTATTAAGTATTAAGACAACAGTACAATGTGAGATAAAATGGGATGCACTGCTACATGGAAATATGTTTGACTAAATGGTACCAGGAAACAGCCTATTTTCACTTTCTGCTCAATCACTTTTGATTCACCATTCATTATCATCCCCAAAACTAATTTTATTCAAGGGGTAATTACTTTAAAATTTACTTACATATTGATTTGTTAAAAGCTATGGATAACCGGTAAAGCTGAGTGACTCACAAACCTTAGAAATAAATTAGTCAATAATAAAGCACCACTTAATACACTGATGACTAATCATTCTTTGGTTAAAATTATAAATTTTGGTGCAGATTCCATATGTTACAATAATATGTTCCTTTCAGCACATGAGACATCAGTACTGACATGGGTAAACTACCTTCAGTGTGGTTCCCAAGGGTGCAACATCAAAGTGATACAGAGACCTGGGATTTGGTACTCTGGGCCAATACTTCTGAGCCTCTTTATAATCATGAATTGGGAGGTGGTCAGGACACAACAAGTATTCCTTCAACTGTTTCTCAACATCTGGCAAAACTGGAGGTGGCCCAAAAGGAAGCTGTAAACAAAAATAAAATAGACATAACTTAACAATACAGCAACCAATTACCTTGGGTAACATGATTAGTTTGTGTTAGATTTCAGATTCTCACAGCAACAAGTATGAAGATGACAGCCTTCTGGGATAACATGCTGAGGAAGTTGAAGTAGAAGTTGACCAACATTTCATAGGTACTTCCTGCCTCTGTCATCAGGGTACAATATCGGAGAAGGTTGTCATCTTCAAATTTGTTTATGGTTTATGTTTTAACTGTAAATAAATCTCATACGAGTCACAAGTTCAGTGGCTTACATAATAATATGTACCTTAAATTAGTAACTAAATTAAATACACTACAGAAAAAATTATGTTATCTCCATCCATGATCCATCTGCCCAGCAGCAGTAATAACAGAGAGGCACCTCAGAAGCACAGGCAATAAAATGCTTCGAATATGGTATTCTGGATTGTAACATCATGAACCTTGTAGGTAATAACCTCAAAATCTCGTACAATAGTCTGTGCTTTATTATTACAAATGTGAACCAATTTTACATTTGTTAAACTTTTACTGCTTTACTTTTGTTATCCTTTTACCCCATCATTGTCATACTGATTATGTTAATGTCATAGTCCGTAATACCTGAATTTCGTAATCGCAAGACTTCTGCATTATGATGTAGTAATCTACCACATGCAATAAGTTATTTTACCAAATATTCATATAACATTGCCTAGGTTAGCACATTTTCTGCTCGCGACTATATTTACAATTAAACACAAACCTTGTGCTAGATAACAAGTGCCCGGTTGGCAATATGTTGCCATATACTGTGCTGCCATCTCTGAATCATAATTATGTATGATTCAGACAAAGAAGTAGGTGCTCCTACCACAGTAGCGCAATCGATAAAATTGACAGGCACCAAGAAACAGGTTTCCTAGTAGTCATAGTTCCTTTTGTTCACTGACTGTTTAAGTATCGAATGATAGATTGAGAAGACTGAATTGGAAAGGAACAGAAGTAATTGTGGCCTAACTTACTGTGCTATTCCAAAATTTGCCTGGAGTGACTGAGGAAAACTATAACATATTGTCTTCTGAAACGTTGCGCCGTGCAGTCTTTTAGAATTTTACCGACGTTTCAGAGGTGCTTGCTGCTTCCATCGTCAAGGCAATGAATGAGCCCTGATGACGGAGGCAGCAAGTACCTTTGAAACGTTGGTAAATTTCCACCAGACCACAAGGCGCAACAACACATAAGTTGCTCTGCACTATAAGCTTGCCTTTCGGTCAAATATTCCAACAAAGAATTCATGAAACTTGTTTGTTTACTTAATTGGAAATAACGTATTAAAATTTACTAAAATTAGTAAAAAGCTGTTCTTTTTAAAGTGCTTCACAGTAATTTATTGAGCCTTATTCGCTTTTTTTTAAATTTTCTTTCACTATTTAAAACCTAATATTTTCTAGGTTTATTAGAACATCATCCATCAGTGGTTTAGTCCAATGCGTCACATTTTGTTACAACCTTATAACCACCACTTATCCGCCCTCCTGTTTTCGTTATTTTACTCTGACCAATGCAAAACGAATGTGATTTATCTCCTGATGTGATACAGGCGCTCTAAGCCACAGGTACAATGATCAGTTTCAAATACAGTCAAGTGAACTGTCAGTATTCTGTCAAGGTTAATTCGCGTCTGCCGATGGAATGACCGGAGGAATTCGGTGTGAATTCTGACGCAATACGTTGATGACCGAAAAAAAATCATCTATATTCAGCAAATACTGTCCACAAACAGAAAAATGCAACAGGCTAACACTGGTTATTTGTAGAGTAAAAAGAAAATTGACACAGGACGAATCGTTTGTACGATATTTTAATTAAAGCTGGAATATAAAAAGTGTTGAGATGTTTGGACAAAGTCTATGACGAAACTAGTGTGGATAAAATTTGTGCGATTACACTTCCTAGAAATGAATGAATATAAAATATCAGTGGAATGATTAATTAGCAGGGGAACGCGAAATTAGCTGAAAAAACTCGCCCTTGCACCAATATTGCATACGAACTGCCATGGGACTGAAAACTGACCTCCTCAGAGAGCAAAATTATTTTGCCATCCAAAGCACAAAATGAGGGATAAATATTGCACACCCAGAACTTCGGCCCATTTAAGATCTCTTCGTTGCTTCTCGATGAGACGAAACAGCACACAAGACGGTAAGCGTCAGCCATCCCTATCATAAATAAACCTACTGAAATTCTAGCACAAGGTCACTGCCCGTTTTCATTTATAGAATTAACCTAAATTAGTTATTTACTCGAACCAGTACTAGAGTATGCTGATCAATAAGTCAACACTCGCACCCAGGCTGGCTGAAACATTCGTGACTTGCTGCTGACCGGTGAGTCCCAAGTCACGAATAAAAGTAAGAAATTCCGAAGAGACGTTCGGCGCCATCGGACTGAAATCCTGTTCAACGCAACATTTATTTGCTTGTATCGTGTTGGCTGCTGTGGTAAGTCTTATCATGATATCTGAATAACTTCAATGTTTCAAACACAGCTATTTTATACTAAAAAAGAAGGAAATTATAAGGTTATATTGTTGAAATGCAGTGGATCTTACTTATTAATATTCTCATTGCAACTACTAAACCAGATGTAAACCACCAACTTAACAATACACAACTTGTGTAGTTAAAATTACCTAAGAATCAGACATAAACCAATAACAAAACGACAGAAATCATAGTGCCATTAAATCTCTCAGTGTGATGTTTTCTTGCTTTGGGGCCTAACAGTTCTCAGTAATTATGTTAGATGGCAGACTGTTCTATTTTACAAGTGCTGCCAAAATCGGGAAACTTTTAGATGTAGTCCTTTTCCAATATGAGCAACGAAAACATGGCAATGCTGATATTTCTAGAGATGTTTAAAACTGAATGGAATAGGAATAGAATACGGAATAAAGAAGGGAATAAAATAAAGGTACGAAAGGGTACAGGAAAGGAAGAAAAAAATAAGATATGAAAATACGAAAGAAATTTCAGCGGACTTTATATGAAAAACATCCCTTATATTAGTGCAAGCGCTGTGAAAGCGAACTAATAAGAACTTTGAGGTTGATAAAAAGAGAAAAATCGATCGTATATTTTACTTCCTATCTAACATGTGTTTTCTTCGTCAGAAAATATAGGCCTATTGTTAGAAGATCTCTCAATCGAATACCAATTAAGGCAACATCAGTTGTTTTTTCATGTTATATGTCTTTCCAAATGAATATAGAGATTTTATAAGCGGCCACAGTATCTTCATTTACACATCATTTCAAAATTTATTATTAACACTGGCCTACATTCACGATCGTTTAGTCCAGAGTATATTCAGTGTCACTCAAATCGTCTCTGACTTTATGTCAGCCCCTCGCAAGTTTGCTGCACCCTTTCCACCAAGGCTCAAAAAAGATCTAGTCATATAGGAATGTTATGTTCTTATGGTCTGGAGAAAACCCCAATAAAACAACGCAGATTAGGTTACTTTTAATCAGTTTACTGTAAGTCTGAATTTGATTTATTTGGTATTTTCAGTCACGAATAAAAAGTACGCATGAGTCGACTTTACCCAATCAACTCATTATCGTCCCCTTGATTAAATATAACAATCAGATCTAAAATTACAAATAGAGACATACACACTTTATTGGTACGTCAGTTGGTCTTCATAATCCTGGACTGTATCTGACTTCCGCATATTTAGTGTTTATTGCTAATGAATAACCAGCCACAGTTATCATGTGATAAATTAAAAAGACAGACAAAGGAGGATTACGAACATACTGTAAAATCACTGTAGTGAGATGAGGGTTACAAATAAGGGTGAGACACTGCATATAGTCAGACAATGCTGAAATGCTAATCTTGATTTTGCAGTGATCCGTCATGAGTCTCACATCGAAAGGACCTCTGTTTCTGAGGGTGAGTGTGCCTGAAGGAATGGATGCGGCACTCGAAGGCCTCACACGCGAGGTTCTGAAACAACAGCCCACAGACATTTATTGGTTCGCAGCTCAACATTTCGAGAGGCTTGTGAGACTGAGGGACATAGGAGGTGAGCAACAGAGGTCTGGAAGGACCGACATTTTAGAATATCGCCCGGTCCGAGTACAAATTTGTATCTCAAAATGTTTTATCCGTACTCCACCTTTCTCCAGACTTTCCTTTGTTCCAACCCGAATGAAGCGTAATCTATTTACAATCTGCACTGACTATAGTATCATTAGCCTAATACGTGTTTCAACGCATAAAAGCCAATGATCCTTAAATGAATTATTTAACGAAGCTCCAAGAACATCTAGGGTTATTTTGGCGTTCGAGGAACGACATAAATATATCGGATGCCAAGTTTTTAAGGTGTTATCTCGAATTATTTAGGGGGGGGGGGGGGGGGGCAGCTACAAAGTTCTCTGACAAGACCAAGTCGGTGGGATTTGTTTCTGGAGCCCAACTGTGTCAGGAGCGTAAAATGAGAGCGACTAATATTTCTCTGTGAAAAAGAATGGTCACAGAAAGCTCGAAATGTTATATAAAACGTTTGATTTCTATCATTTGAACCCGGGCCGAAGACGAACATTATCTGTTCCCGTGTAGACTCCTAATGAGAGGTGCCAACAGCCACGTCTTTGTGTGGCTGAATGTCTTGATGTCTGACTCTGCCATCGAATGAAAACATTCTCATGAATCTCAAATGTGATATTCATAAAACCAAGAGTCACACCAACAACATTTTTACAATATCTGAACTTAGATGTTTCTGCCGAAAATTGCGCATGAAGACGTTCAGATAAGTACGACCCGGTGGGCAGCGTGCATCATGTGCTAGCTGTGAGAAGAAATTCGCTCATTAACAGACAGCAATAACACATTGTCAAAATCGGAAGCAAGAGAAATGTTTATGCTCGTCTATATATTCGCGGGGCTGCACTGTCTTTAGAAACAAAAAGGCAGATTCCTCACAGTGAGATAAACTTGTCCCGAGTATGAGCATCAAATCATATACTGGATGCGGTGATAAAACCCTGTGCGTTCTAGATTTTGGCACTAGATGGAGATGAGTGATCAGCTTCGTGCTCCGGCTTCATTACCCCCCCCCCCCCCCCCAAATTGTGAAGTTTGGATCGAATATTAATTCGCTTTAAATGTGACCAATTTTGGTAAATTTCTTAAAAACAAATGGTGTGCATGAGTCCAAAGAAAAATGTAATATTTCAGTTAAATCTTCGTTGGGTAATTTTCGAAAGAGAAATATAGTATCTCACAGGGAAATATTTGTTTATTGTACATTTTAAGAAATTTGTATAATTAATAGTAAAAGGAAATAATTAGAATAATTTATGTTGCCTCCGAGTGAGCGTGAGCTGATTTGACCTTATACAAGTTTATGACCATAAACCCTTTAAATTTTGTAAGCCATCTAGGCCTAGTTAAAATGTGTGATCTCCCGAATAAGGAACGATAAATAGTATTTTACAATACATTTCGGCTATAAAGGTTATAACGTCGAATGATATAAGAAAATTATATGAATTGATGAGTAGACAAAGATTTGGAATGAGAAAAGTGGCCTCCTTCAAGATTTTATTCCAATTTTCGCACGGAAAACTTTAGAAAACAAAATTACGGAAAGTCCCAGTAACCCAGCCGACTTTTGAAACAGGTGCCTCCCGAATACAAGTCCAGATAGTTTCTTACGTCACCAACCATCGTAAAGTAGACAGGGTTTACCGCTGCAATAGATGACTCTTCCTTTCCGCATTCGACCCTGCATTCAAGGTCTCGAGATCAGCAAACTACGATGGACTTGGATCTAAAAATGTATGACAAACATGACTTATATCGAGTCAGCCTTTAAGTATCGAGACATTGGTAATCTAACAGTAATATATCTCACTTGAACAGTGGAAAGAGTTTAATGATCAAAGCGTCAGAGCCCACTAAAGATAAGGCCTCAGCCTCTACGGTCTGACTGGAACGTTTTCATAGAGTACAAGATCATATATCTGGCAGTCTCCCAGCTGGTGAAGATATTTTCTTTGATTTTTATTGAAACTGACTGTTCATTAGAGATTGCTACTGCTAAACTGTATCGTGAGCCATTCTGTATCCTCACGCCCCATTTCTAAGATTCGTTGTAATTTTGAAGGTGGCAATCTTCTGGGATGTCGCTCCGTGTAGTCCGGTAAAACTGACATATGTTACAGAGGTCCTTACTGCTTCCGTCATCAGGGCGCTGATGATTAGTAATAATACTAATAATATTTTTCGACAAACACACACGAATATTCTCAATATGTGATTTAATCCACCCTCATTTTAGATTAATTAATTTATTCCTTATAGCGATCTAGAAACACGTCCTCTGAATTTACGACTTTGCTTCAGAACATTTCATATGAAATATCGCAGAATATTGGTAAATTATGAACAGGGAAATCAGCTTTAACATAATTTTAAAGTATATCATAATACGAGGGTATCTGCTTGGGAAGAACTGTGTAAAATCACGAAAACATCTATTTACTACAGTACCGTTTTATAAACTGAAAAGTGAACCTACAGGAAGAAGAGAATGAAGTGGAATGGGTCTAGAGTGTTTATTGATTGTCCTGCACGACTCATGGCAACCAGAACGTCAGTCCTAATCAGACGTTTCTACACTGCATTGTTCTCGTCCTCTTGTTTATTCGATAATACTGAATCTGCCTCCCCTCGCAAAAGGTAGTACGCCTACATTCAGTATTTTTCCAAGAGATGGCATCAGCAAGTACAGGGATGTACAGCCCGTAAATAAACATAATTTAAATTGAGTCACAGACATGTTTCACAACGCCATTGCAATAATTTAATTCAGAACGTTAGAACTAAAACCCAGGAGAATTAACTGTGTAACACAACGCAATGAATAGACTCAATCTCTGAAATCAAAGAATATCCATATAACTGATTATTGTATCTCGCAGTTTAAAACAGTCAGGTGTTGGATATTTAGTACTTTTTTCAGGGTTTTATATCATTTTCAGAAAGAACAGCGATAATTTTCCTTAATAGCAGTAACTGTATACTAGACAATCATTCTGTTTTCTTTTAGGTAAGAATTAAATTTTTGAATATTATTTAGATACTCCGTCCCATTTAAAGTAAATCCATATATGAATTTGAATATTCACGTGCTATTTAAAACTGAATGTGGCAGAAAAATGTAGGTAGATAACCGCTGGTCTATTCTGCTTCCAAAGCATTAAGGTCACGTGAGTTGGCTCAGGATAACAGATTTCTACTGTTAATGTCTCACGGTGGGACATTTATATTCGTCACTTTCGCCGAAATAACCTACGGCGTTTCTCGGCTTGCCATATAAGCGAATGACGGAAAGAGGGAAGATGTCTCCCTCAGATTTGTCTGGGAATACCCGAGCACAGGAAGACGTTTTGTGGCCCCCCTCCTTTCAGAACGGAAGGGAAAACTCTGGCATCATTTTATAACAACGATTATTTTTAATTTACCACACTACAAACGAGACATTTTACTTCTTCAGCTCTAAGCACGAGTACACCAAATTATGACGTGTGAAATTTAGCATACAAGTTGCCATACAAATTTACAAAAAAGACAAACATGTGAAAGACTTATGGCATTTCACATGCATGATATTTATATCAGACGTTACCATTTTTATTGTGTTTAATTGACACTGATCTATTTAAGGGTTATCTTGCTCAAGGGTACAATTTAAAATTCTGCATGCTTTATCTCACTGAAGTCTCTAAAACAATTAAAATATAAGTAACTATAATTTTTACCTGTTGCTTTGTATGGGCATAAAACTTCTTCCTTCACATTAAGGTGTTTGAAAACAGGTAAATATGTGGACTTTAGAGGGATAAAATGGCAGGAGGCTGGGAGAAAGGTGTTTTGCAGGAATTTGGCTTCAGTCGCCGTGAAGGTATTTTCACATTCAATTTAGTTTATAAAGAAATTTTATAAACTCTTCACTTTAAATACGATTTGCAAAAATTGTGCCTCAACCAAACAGTATTACTCTAACACAAGAAGGTTCATTCCCGTCAAAGTTGATGCGTCATATGTTATTACTTGTATAATGAGAACTTCTATCAAGTGTGTGAGCTGTCGAAAATCTTATCTGGCCTTTGCTATCACCGAACTGTCATGTAAAAATAATCGGTTTGTGACGACATAATAAAACTGCACCACTAAGCATTTAAATGTAGCTTTTAGTAATTTAAGTTGCATATGAGGCCGAGTTTGAGGTTGATAAATGGCGCTTGCAACGTCCCTGTACCTAACAAACACGTACCGACCCGAAGACAACCTAATTAAATAGACAACTGTGGACCGAAGGACTTATTTGAGGATCTGGAATTCACGCAGGCACACAATTCGAGAGACAGCACTAATTGTTCAAGTTGTTAATTACCGAACTTTGTTATCAGTCACAGGCTAGCAAGTGGTTTCCTGGTTCAAGTGTGCCATTACGGCCCAATAAAGGATTGCGTATGTAACGTCCTGATTACTTTAAGTGATCACGTCCAATTTATCTTACGACAACGCATTTATATCAACTTTCAAGTTCAGAAGTAAAACCTATTTAAAATGTAATTCTAAGGGACCTGAATTTTTTCAGACAGGTTTAGGTCTTAAAACATTGCAAAACACATACCCAGGGTGTATGTGGCCAAACTGAAAACCACAAATTTTTATTACTTTCTTCTTTGCTTTACCAGTAGTTGAAAAAAACATTTTGCCTCCCGTTCTGACAGGACATTTCTGATAAATTCGAGGAAGCACGCTGCTAGGCAAACTTAGAAATATACGAAAAGAAAACAGTAAATATTAACGGAGGTCTAGTCATCATTAAATTCTTGGCTCTCCATTTCCTCTTTCGTGGTAAACGTTTGTCATCTATTGTGAGGGCAATTCTGCGGCTTTTTTCCATCTATATTCACGAGACTGGAGAATTGTTTGAAAAAGACAGACGTACATATGGAACAGAAGACAGCCGTCTTACTGTATCTCCATACACTAACAACAGTACGGAATTACACATATATTATAAAAGTTCCACCTGCAGTGAACAGATAACACCCTCGCGTGTGGAAATTGCTCTTAATTCCTCAGCTGCTGGCCGTTTAGTGACAATTACCGTCTCCCCTGCCACCTGAAGACGCCAATTATATATAAATTCCCTCGGCGAACCTAAAATAATATTTTCTTATAGTAAACCCACGACTTTGCCATTCATTGTATCAATTTTACTACCGAGGACGAATTTTTCTTTTAAACGTCCAATACTTATCCTGAAAATTATGTAAATGAAAAGCATAGAGCCCCGCGATCTGAATGCTGACAATCTGAATAATCGGTTAGAGTTCGATTGTCGTTTTTTATGATTTTTTCTGATGGCGGTGAGTGATGTACTACTTTAAATATGTTCCTTCTTACACCCCTCCCGACTCAGAACTTGTAATTCACTTTGGTACGTAATTAGACAATGAACAACCCCTTACGTTTATACAGTTTCGTAAAAAATTAGCAACATAATTTAAACAGCTGTATTAAATTAATTTTAATACAGGCGATATGAGAAAATCAAACGTTGTTGTGCCTTCGGAAGACACGCTGTTCGAATTTCTGTCACGATCAGTTATTATAGCAGTGATTATTTGTGGTTTTCCTCTGTCCTTCGCAATGATAACCAGTCACTGAATGGGTTGTGAGACAGCAGATAAGTAGACGCTGGGTCTCTGTCGGGCACAGAAATCGACTTCCAGTCAACAAGATACCCTAGAGAGGCAATGATTGTCACAATTGTAACTGAATGAACTTGTGAAGTAATAGGATACAGCAGTAGAGTTCATTATAAGATATTACGCCACATTACTCTAATGGTGGAGTGAAATGCGGAAATCGTGCGGTTTGAGTGTCCTGGAAACGCGTTTCTTATATCCTCGCCACTTCTAGTTTTCATTTCAAATATGTGGCATATCTATTCAATAACATTATAACTAGAACACTTTCGTTTCGCTTCTGCCATTGAAGAACATGAATCTTTCTCACGTCAGTTTATCCTTTATGGTGGAGCTAAATACACGAATGGATACGCAGGTCATGCTATGAATTCTGTGACGAAATCTGATGCAAAATTGGAACATAGATAATTGCGTTCGTAGACCTGGAGTCAAAATTTCAGTGGGGACTCTCCTGGTATATAGACCTATGTAGCCTGTGATGAAATAACCTATGAACATTTGACGGAAAAGGGTGGAAATTGAAGAAGGAAATAGGAATGAATGGAATAAGGAAGAAAACAACTTAGAAATGAAAGGAAAAAAGGAATGAAATCAATAATCGGCCTATTTCTTCACATGTTCTGAGTGTCTGAAGTAAGGGTTCAATCCACGTATGTATTAAATCCCTTGACACTCATCTGCTCTATTCGGTCCCTGATAGAAGCAACCGCCGTTAAACACGCAGCCTGCCACTGTGTTCTAGTGGCGCGTGGACCGTCATCACAATGCTCGGAGCTGGCGAGCCAAGCCCATTACGCAGCTCAGCTCAGATCTGCTCAGTCCCTGCGTGCGTGCCTCACAAAGTGCGTGCTAGTGTTGCAGCAGTGCCATGGTGATAACAGTGCAACATCTCGTGTGACCTATGACCCCGCCTCAGAGCCGGCGCCAACGATAGAACCAACATAAGATCAATCTAGTGAAGAAGACTTGAGAGGCGAAGTGGAAATTGTGAAAATGGCAGGAGTAGTGAGCTAATAGTGACGGAAGTTGCGAGTTTATATTTGGACCTGGCCGCTGATCCACTCTCTCACCATGGGATGTGTGCAGTCGTATTTTAGAAAGGGTTTGTATAACGTGTATGAAGGTAGGGGATATTACTCTAGCCTGGCGTGGGTTTGACGTGAACCTCATTGTGGGTAAACACATTCTGCGCCATCTAAAGCTTCTGATAAATAGATTTATGGTGTTCGCATACTGAGTACCGGATACTTAAAAAACCTCTACCAATATATCACCATTTTAAATAAAACACCGCCATAAATTTAAAAACGCAAATTTACGTATTCGCTACTGAATATATAAATAAAGATCGGAGGTAATTGTATTTATGTTTCGGTATTTTATTCACGATTTGTTTCAATATTACCTCTAATCTCCCGACGCTAATGGCAACTGTGAGTGAATACCGAACGAAGCAGTGTGCATGTAAAATCACAGTGTACACCATTTTAAAACAAAACACTCAAAATGTATATTTTAACGCCATTTAGCACTAACAATATTTACAAAAGCTCGATAAGGAATTGCGACGATTTGATTAAAATATTTTTTATCAATTTTTTTCCTCATTTATCAAATTCACTCTTGTTAGCCTATTTATTTATCTGTCATGGCTCACACACAGCCTAGGATAAATTTAAGACGGTGATCTAGTTATTGCGAATGGGCAATTTTGCCATCAATTCATTACACAGAGCTGAACAGGAAATCACAGCAGTTCCTGGAATTCAGAGTCGAATGTCACGTCAACTGTGATTACACTGTAATAAAACAACGTCAGTAACTTTTCTTGCTTAATTCATTTTGTCTCTTGTATCACATTTAATCTTATCATCGAAATTATCAGCTTCATTATCAAAACTACATTAAATTATTATCACTTTTAAATACCTAACATAGTATAACTCCCGAAGAGATATCCAAATATAGATTAACGACAATAAAGGCTGAGCAATTTTGCTTGTTTGTTCATGATTTATTCGCCGACACTGTCAGCAAGTTGGTCAGACTGCACAGCGTCGATGGTATAATTAATGGACAGGAAAGAATATAGAAGGAAATGGTCGCGGCCTATCCGGAAACATATCTGCAGGTACTGAAAAAAACAAAACAAGAAAAAACCTCAGGACAGACGTCTCCGGGCCAAAGATTGAACCCACGACCTCCCGAATAGGAAGCACGACGTTTGGTCCCGTGATGTTGATGCAAATCAAAAGAATGTTTCCTTGTGCAATTTGTGATGTGCGCTTAGTCGGTGTTTCATTGTTCTGTAATTACTTGTTTCAGTGTACTTGTTTAGACAAGTATATGACGAAAGTAATTTCTTGGCAGGACAAGTGGTGGAAAAACCGAACTCTGTAAGATAAGCTACAGTGCACTTACACTGTCAGATAACGTTCAAGCTCAAGGAGCATGATGGAAAGTGTATAAAGAAAGTTAAAATACCCCACATTTAAAATTATTTATTTTACGTCTGAAATACCAAACTGTATCAGTTGGGTTTCATTATTATAATATGCCTAGTAATGAGCAATTCAAAAACAGAGTTCGTTAACTCAGGAAATACCCCGTTCGGGACTCAGCCTGGTCCGTGACTGAGGGTTCCGTGGATTTCCTCAGTTTCCTCAAGCTGATTCCGTATGGTACCTTGAAATAGGCCACATTAGTTTTATTCCTACTATCCAGTGAATTACTATTACGTTCGATTATAAATAGATGCTAAAGTTGATACAATGTCATGATTCACCTTTATAAAATTACGTTGAAAGTTATTCTTAATTGAATAAAGGTCAATTCCTATTAAAGAAAGAACAGTTGCTTTATAGTTGGAAGCACTTAATTCTGAAATAAGAATTCCATTAAAGAATCTCGAGAGAAATTTCACATCCTAAGACACACTGGTTCACTGGTTAGTACTCTCAAATGGGAACGTCAGGAATACTTATAACAAATCGGTTGATAAGCCTGAAGGGAAGAAACCACTTGACGTCATTATTTTAGATCGGATGATAACAATGAAGTGGCTCTTAAGAGGAACAGGGTTCGATGGTCTGGATTGGATTCATCTTGCTCATGATAGGGGTCAGTGGCGAGCTCTTGTGAACTTCGGGTTTCACAAAAGACGGGAAATTAATGAATAAATGAGCGTCAAATTAACTTCTTAAGAAAGACTGTTCCATGGAGTTTGTTGACTAAAAGTGGCAGTGTTATTATTTTTCAGTTCTTTAAGTTACTTCACCTGTCTCCCCCACAATACCTCTATTAAATAAACATTTCTGAAAGGTAATATTATCAAATTACAGGAATTGAAACTCATCAAAATATTTTCAAAAGGCTTCTTCTGAAAAATATTTTTCCTCTTTCGAATTTTTCATGATTGAGTGGCAACGAATGTTTATTAAATTAAGCATAAAACTTCTTTTTACAGAATTTTAACCTATGGCCGTACAGTCTGTTATCAACGTGACGCCTCTGTGGTTTATTTAACGACACTTTTAATAGCTCAGGCTATATCGTCGAGCAATGAGAGTCAAGAATAGTAGAAATAGTTTGGTAGGAAGCGGTCCTGGTCTAATATAAGGTACTATCCTGGTATTTTCCTTGGGGGAACTGAGGAAAATCACAAACAACTCCGGTCTGGGACCTCACGAATACGAAACAGGAATGCGATGTTCGGTGTGACCCATTTGAAATTATTAGACTGGACAGGCGATTTTAGAAACCTGTCGATTCCGAAAGAGATAAATAACAGCAGAGAAGCTGAAGAAAACAAGTTTTGGAAACACTCGTATGTTTTGCGTTTTTCACGGTACTTACTATATATTTAAACGACATATTTGTCCCCTACTAGAGAAAGAACGTGCAATCGTTAAAATCTCAAAATCAAATTTTCAGAAGTTCGTGTGTTTTGGAAATCACCAAATGTCATAGTTCCAAAAAGGTTAGCAGTCCTTATTTGAAGTGCCGCCATTATAAACGTTCTATCAGACTACGAAAATGAGGTTGGCCTAGAATAAACGTAGAGAAACCTGAATAGTCCTATATGTTCCCGTATCTTCTCAACAAAGAAGGAAAATTAAATTATTTAAAGAGTTAACAAGTCCTTTGAAAATGTGGAAAAATTAAGATATTTAGGAATGGCGATAGGTAAATTTACCAAAAATTGACTAACAGATTAAATCCCGAGAATGCCTGCTTCCAATCAGTTCAGCGTCGCCTATGTACCAATCTCCTATCTAAGCATTTAAATATACAAATCAAAAATGTATCTGTTTCCATAAATGTTTCTTCAGAATTTCTCGAGTTCTTGCATACAGACAGACATATAACATTGTGAAACTAATAGGCGCACTTTTACAACTTTTAGTTCCTAACACGCCCATAAATAAAGATCATTCTGAGTTTACCAGCTTGTATTAGTTTATTACCATCTTCCTTGTTGTTGGTTGGTCGTATTACATGATAAAACGATTTCATAACTGAAGTTGTAAAAACAGTAATGTGTCTAGTATATTTTGAGCATTCACATTCTAGTGAATAAATAATACGAATTTGGATACAACTTCTGACCGTGTTTGGAAAATGCATTAAATTCCTCGATGAATCAGACTACATTACCTTCTGTGAAAGCCGACGATGACAGTCGAACATTAACATTTTAAGGTTACATTTTTTTGAGGGGGGGAACCAATGACGAGAGCCAAAATGTCCTTGTCGATGCTCTACTGTAAACAAAACTAAACTCGGAGAGAAACCTGCCCCAGTGACACTTTGTCCATCACAGATCCCATAAAATCTAACCTGAGCGTAAACCCAGGCCTCCACGTTGAGAAACCGGTGACTAACCGTCTGAGCTATATATAACACGGTCCGTCAAGGATACCACGGTTACGTTGGTCACTGTGGTTACCATGGCTAACCTGTTCAAAGATCAAATGTCAAATTCTGGCGAATACTATGCGGACATTTCCAGAGTTGTATAATGACCATATTATATGTCAGATATTACTCTGTATAATAAATGAAGTCTTGGACGTTTTAATTTATTGGTAGGATATTGGCGTTAGAATGACATTAATTTCTTACGAAAAGTGGAAGAAGCAACTTGGGAGATCTAGACGTAAAGGGAGAAAACTAAACTTAAGGATATCTAAACGGTCCTTACAGAAATAAGAGTGTAAGGATGTGGGATGGTGAGTAAATTGTTTACTGTAAGTGACAAGGATTTATTTGTCCTGGTGGTGTTAAATAATTCATGAATCCTGTAGTATATTTTTTATCCAAGGCCATTTCTGTTGAAACTCAGTACTACAATTGACTGTAACACCTGATGGCAGACATAGTTGTGTGATAATGACCTTCATATGATGTAATTTTCGTACTTCGACTGCAACGAGAAAGTTGCATGGTTTTAATACACGTCACTCTTACAACTCCAATGAGAAAATGTCGTCATAATTATCACATAAAACTCAAGCGATTTCAACTGCAAACAGACCGTTCAATTTTGCCAACTGAATAAGAGTTTTGACTGGTTTGTTAGAAACTATGAACTTAGATGCTATTGGCAAAGGTTAAGATGTGAGATGCAACATTAAACATGTGATTTGAAAATGGTTCAGGAGGAAGGCGTTATGGTTTATATTTATATATTCGACCAAAAGTGAATGGGGAACAAAAATTGTGCTGATTCTCTGTCACTGTGTAATTTAGATGCCACTGTGACGCCACTCTGAACTCTGAACACTGTTTCTCTTTCCTTCTTTCTCTCATCCTCTTTTACCCGTAGGTTTCGAGGTTTTTTATTTATTAGATTGATCTATTTGGACAGTGGTAGGACTCCTTGGAAGAGTGATCAGCCCGACGCAAGGCCTCTACCTATACAAACACAGAAAGACGCTGACAAACATCCATGCCTTGAGTGGGACTCGAACCCACGGTCCCAGGCGCACGAGGACCGTGCCTCAGACCGCGTGGCCACTGCGGCCGGCCGGTCTGTTTCTTCACTTTCAAAGCTATGAGTTCATATAAAATGCACTACAGTCAAGGACGAGGAATTTTCCG